AGAGAGAGGAGCGATACAAGATTGGTTGTGCGGACCAAGAAGGAAGAAGGCGGCCATAGCCACGGAGCTCGCACACGGAGGAAGAAGAAAGAAGACGAACAAGAGAGGAGGGAGAGACCGAGAAGTGAGAAGACGCCATAGCTGAGGAAGAGGAAGGAGGGACGACGAAGAGGAAGGAAGACATAGCCAGGGCGAGGATAGAAAGAAGCGAGGAAGGGGAAAGAAAGGAGGACGAAGAAGAAGGGTGGCGAGGAAGAAGAAGGCGGCAACCATAGCCGAGTTGAAGGTTGACCAAGGGGTTGACCGAAGTTGCTTTGGGGGTTGACTCAGGTGTTGACCATGGTTGACTGGAGCGTTGACAGGAGGGTTGACCAGCGTTGACCAGGGTGTTGACCAGGGCTGTTGACCACGATTTTGACCAAGCTGGAGCTGGTATATCCTCGCCAAGCCCTCAGCCTATGGATGTGCACTCACCCTATGGTACTTGCTGAGTCTGTCTGTATCTTCGTTCTGCATTGAGTCTCTTCTGTCCAGGTGATAGGAACTCCGTGTGTGAAGGATAGAGCCTTGTTGACCAAACCCACACGGGCTGAGTAGGGCTAAAGGCCGTGTCTAACGACCAAACCCTCATCGATCTCTGTGGTCTGACGGAAACTAAATCTGTCTTCACATTCTCCACCGCTCGTTTTATACACCATTAGACTTCCTTGCAATCGCCCTTCAGCTTGATGCTGATCTTCCCCAACTACAGCCAGAGGATTGTAATTACACAGTGAGGGAAGGAGGCTTTGCCATTGCCGTCCTGCAAGTAGCAATGAGGGACCGTCAACTTGAACTACGCAATGCTCAAGCAGGTGAGTGGTTTAATCCTCCATCCCACATCTGTGCCTGCATTGTGCATGGACCTGGCCCATTACATGTCTATTGTTCATGCCTCTGACCACTGGGAGCTATGGGACAACGGCACCGTGGTCCATGCCATGACTGATGTCACTGATTTCTTACAAAATGATGCTGTTTTCTTGCCACAACAAACCGTCCGCAATCTCTTTTATGCCGAGGATCATTCGTCTGGCCCCGTGCTGCAGCAAGACAATGTACCAACACTCTGTGACCTTCTCCTTTGCACAGCCACAAACACTGTTACACTCGGCTGTAACCGCCATCATCTCTGTCACAATCACTACAATGACATGGTTTCTGCATCCATCTGTGCAGAGGACTGTCCCACCGTTCCTGGCTGCAGGCACCCTCCGCATCCGGACACTATATGTATGTCCGTTTTGCGGCCATGGGCGCTATACTGAATGCATGCTCTTTTGTGGTGACCGTTCTTCCTTTATTTTGGCCTGCAATCGACATGCCATTTGTCGGGGGGCGTATGGTGGGTATGCTCAATGCCAGCCATCGTGGCAATTGTTGCACTGAGAATGCTCAGCTAGGTCTTCCATGTGTTCATCTAGCTCATCGTTACAATGTATGTCCTCCCTGTCGTCAAGGATGGACTCATTCTTGAGCCTTTGCTTATCCTCTTTTGCCTTCCACTTCACTCCACGCTCCATACGTTCCCTTACTTTCCCTTTATCGTTCTTTGTTTGTCTGCTCTCCATCTCCCCTCCCTGTGTTTATCCCCTCCCCCTTCACTCTGCCTCTTTCTCACAGCGTACAAGTGGGCTGTTATGGCACACGGGGATGGGGGCCGCTCGCGCCCAACTTCATCAACGTGGCGAGCCTTGTACGTGAGGCACGGTGAAAGGGGAGTCAAAAGAAGAATGAGTAAAATGAATGGTTTCACTGTGCCCTTCATGTTTGTCTGGGGTTTTTTATTTTTATTTTTTATTTTTGCCGTTTGTTTTGCAAATTGCGCTCTTTTAGTTCATAGTTATGTGACAATATATATCGTCATATAGAGCTGCCTGGGAAACCTTAGGCAGAAAGGGAGAAGAGGACAATAGATGAGGGGCTGTGACAAACTGTTCCGTAGGAGTTTCACCGACTCATCAATCAGTAGAGGCTGAACCCTCAACAGTCTGCAGAATCCCCTAACCTGATGATTACACTGTAAGTGGTAATCCACCTTAACACCGGCCGTGGTTAAGCATCAACGACTGCCCGACAACTGATACCCTGAGGTGGTGGGGACCACCAACCACTGCCCTCAAGGTACCTGTGCCGAAAATCAAAGCAGACTATCACTCACCCACACCAGATGGAAAACTCTGCAGACTGTCGGTTCATATGTTTTTCAAATTTGGTAAAGAATTTGGATGTGACCCTGAGGCAAAAGTTGTTCAGTTTATTTTTCTGCATAACATCGTTTTTTTTTTTTTTTTTTTTTTTTTTTGCTTTGCTGGGACCTTCGATGCAACCCGCACATGTTCCCTCAAGCCTTGGAGGCTTGAACTCGGGCTGGCTGCTACGGGGTTCCCCGTAATATACTATAATGATAAATTTAACAAGGTCCGAAAGCCTGTCCTGTCCAGATTTGACAGGTAACTAAAGAGGTTGGGCTTAAATAAATTAGCCTTTTTTATTAAAAAAAAAGGAAAAAAGATGACTCGCAGGGCTTTGCAGCGAAGTTTCGAAGCCCCACGCGACCAAAAGCTTCTGCGCTCTTCGGTAGGGAAAAAATGCGTAATCTGCCGCGCTTCATTTTGCAATGTGCAAAAATTTCTTTGCTTTTCGATAGGGAAAGTATTCAATCTGCTAGCTGCCCCTGGATGACCAGGCCTTTCGATGACAGCCAGCGAGTAATCCTTCTCCTCTGTTTTTTTTTTTTTTTTTTCCCAAACTTCCTCTCATTCGGTGGACCTCATTCTTGGTTTTATCAAGGTATAAATCTGACAGATTCTGGAAAAAAAAACTTAAAAAAAGTCTGAACAAGAAAGGGAAAAAAAAGGGTCTGACTTTTTCATTCTTGGTTATCAAGTTAAAACTCTAGCAGTCTAAAAAAAAAAAAAAAAAGTTAAAACTCTAACAGAATCTGGAGAGGCCTTTAAATCTGACAGACTCTTAGAAAGGGTCTGAATCTCTCTGAAAAGGGTGGTACAGTGCATGGCACGCTTAATTTAATGGTGGGTGGGTCTTTACAAGAATTAGTGTATGCATTTGCAAATTTTGTGCAGGTTATTGAGCAGAAAATGCGACATGGTTTGGTATTTCCGAAAGGCTGTTTTCCCGGGCGCCCGGGCACCCAACTTCTGCCCGGGTGCCCGGCCGGGCATGACCCCCGGGCAGGGTTCCGGGAAGCCCCTGCGCCAAAAAAAAAAAAAAAAGCTCAAAAAATTCCGGAAAAAAAAAATGTTGTGTAGGATTGAAATGCAAATCACTTTTGGCTGAGGRWCACATTATAATTCCTCACAGAATCGGAGATAAAAAAGAAAATAACAGAATCACACAAAGGCACCCCCCTTTAGACCTCTTTAGCCCCTTTAAAACCAATTTATACCCCCCTCCCCCCCCCTTGACAGCCAACTCGCAAAAAACGAAATGAGCCCGGTTTTGGAGTCCTCTGGGAGAGCGCAGAAAACCAAATATATATATATGTCACAGCCCCTCGTTTGTTGTCCTCTTCTCTCTCTCTGCCTACGGTTTACCGGGCAGTTCTGTTTGTGACGATATATATAAACTCCGACGAAACAGTTTGTCACAGCCCCTCGTTTGTTGTCCTCTTCTCTCTCTCTGCCTACGGTTTACCGGGCAGTTCTGTTTGTGACGTTATATATACAGACTGTTGAGGGTTCAGCCTCCTGATGAGTCGGTGAAACTCC